ATTGAAGCAGGATTGGGATGTGATTTGATCCACATCGTGGGAGATGATAAACTCTCGCTAGTGGATGTTGATCCATCCATCTCCTGTTAGCAACCACCCTGTCCAACCTCTCCTCGGTGTAGGCCTCCCCTTCCCTATTGTTTTCCCAAGTGAAGCAGCTTCCATAGAACCCTAGATCTTCCAGCTCACAATCCTCCAGGACCCTCCTGAACTCCTCCATTTCTCGCACATTTGGGTTACCGCTCCCACTCTTCTCAATATAGTCTGTGATCAAGTTAAAATCTCCCATCACCACCCACGGTTTTTCCACTAGATTATACAACCATCTCAGCAGCTCACAGGTACTGTCTTTATTTTTTTCTTCTGGCCACCCATAAACCCCATTAGCCTCCACGTTTCATTCTGATTTTCCGTTTTCGCTTTAAAATCCATATAGTTCGCATCCTTCCCTTTAAGTTGCAACTCAATACCCTGTTTCCATAACATCAATAGGCCCCCTGACCTGTTTCTTCTCGCCGCAACAACTTTTCCTCCTTTATATCCAAACTCTTGTTGCTTTTCTTCCAGTATGGGAAGATTTTAGAATATTTTAATTGACATGTGTTAGGTAAACTATTGTCATGCATATGTGAAGATTTGTGTTCTTTAAAAAAATATGAAGCATGTTTGATACTGTTTCCGAGAGCGCTCATAACCCAAAATGACCCGTAACCCGACACGAAACAGAATGGGTTGGGTCAATATTTGGTTCGAAATAAGCCAACCCAACAGGATCGAACCCCTGACCTGAAACCTCAACCAAAATTACCCAACCCGACCCAATTGGCAGGTCTACCATTTTTCTTTGATCCCCCCCTACTGGCGGAAGCTTTGCTTTGATTATAAAGAAGTAATCCTTTTGAGAAAGAATTTATTTCCTCTTGAGATACGGACTTACTGCTAATCCCACTAATCCTTTATCTATTGAGATTCTTGATCACATCTAGATTCACATTAGTTTTGCGATTAACTAACTTGTTCCTAACTACACAATTAATCCCGACTAAAGCTCATGTGCAAACTTTAGTAGGGTGTAGTATATGGAAAGTGTTTTAAAATGTCAACCCGAGGTGGTCCATGTACCCCTACTTCAATAATTTAAACTGTTATCTATCAAATGGTTTAGAGTTAAAGCTAAGTAACTATAGTTGAAAGCAAACAAATGAAACTAGTATCGTATTAAGATGCAACAAATGAAACTCTAGTGCAAAAAGATGTGTTCATATATCGCGAGGAGGGTGCAATCAGTAGAGAAACCCCACTCTTTTAGTCAATCGATTGAGGAATGTCAAATTAAGCTAGGAGACCTAGCTCTCTTAATCAATCGGCTAATGATTGCAAGAACCAATCACTCAGAGAGGTTAATCCGGAATGGCGAAGAGTAACAAATCACGACAAATTCATGGCACTAATCCGATGTTTGAGGCCTACCCTTAATTTTCCTAGATGGAGTTACCCAATTGGCTAAGAAATCTAGCTTCTTATGGCCCAAAGAGAGATTTCCTCCACCTAGGTCAATTTGAACTAACTTTGAGATATGAAGAACAACACTCAAGAATCATGAAAAATACCTCAAACATTATATTAAATACACCCCCATCACACATAGAGTTCAATTCCTACAATCTATCACATTTCAAGACTAGGATTCACAATACCCAAGTGAATTCGAGAACTACTCCATGACTAAGAAGAGGAATACAACAAAGATGGAAAGAAAAACCATGGTAAGTTGCTTGGATTGCCTCCTTGGAGGAGAAATCTCCACTCTTCAAGCCTTGAATAGGTCAAAACTCCTTCCTCCTCCTTTGGTTCGTGACTTTCTCTCTCTAGCTCAAGAAGAAGAAGCCAATCTCACTCTTTGAATCCTCCCCCTTTGGTTTTAGCTCACTCCTCTTCATATACTCCAGTGGGGCGATTATCACGGTCAAATATCACGTACGTGATCCTGGAAGCTTGCACGTGATCTCTGGGAAAAATACATTGTTTCATTTATCATCTTCACGGTTGGGGAGAAATTGTCACGGTCTAGTGACCGTGACAACTGACTTACCCGCGAGATGTGCAAAACATCATGGATCCTGGCAATCTTCACGGTCTGTGCTCATTCTTTACGGTCTCCCGGCCCGCCCGTGTCCTGTGATAATAGCGCATTGACCATGATCTCTGCCTTTTTTGTCCATTTTTGCCCTATTTCGTTCGACTTTCGCTCCCGAGGTCAATTCCACCTGCTAAGACCCGAAACATGTTGAAAACATGCGCAACCTAGTGTAAAATTGAACCTCGGGCGATGTAAACCCTCAAACATCAAAAGAATATGGGGTGAAAACATGTTTAATTAGGGGTGTTCAAACGGATTGGTTAATTTACATAATTGGTTTGGTTAAAATTTTTAGCTTGTTTGGTTTAACTGATTTGATTTGGTTTCAGACACTCCTAACCAATGAAACCAAATTAACCGGTTAAATAATTAGTCATATATATATAATATATCTTATACACATAGTTAATATATTGCTTAACCACTCAGAAGACAAAAGTTCCTCCCTTTTATACTCATGAAAAAATTAAAGCTCTATATTGTTCATATAATGTATACTTGTATTTGTAGAGTGTAGACTACAATATATGGACATCTAATTTACGGGTCTGGATCCCATCAGTAACCATCACGTGATTAACCTCATGCATAACCCAATAAGAATCCTCCACATCAGTGCCTCATTCTCTCTCATCGAAAGACCTTTAATTTTCTTCCATTAATCTTTAACAGACGATTTCTCACTCGTTTTAACTCGTAATTTAATTTTGTTTACACAGTTAGATCAGATTAATTGTGCTCTTCAAAATGATATCTACGTCGATATTTTTTGGAACAAAAATTTTTGCCAGTTATTACCAGTCTATACCATATGGTATTGACTATACCATATAGTATTCACTGGTATTAAATAACAACATACCATACGGTATGAAAAATACCACCCCATACTAGGGTGGTATAGTATGGTATGAAGTTGGTAACGAGAGGTATTAAATTTTTTCATCCATAAAATTTTGAAATCCAATAGATCATGATTAAATCGTTCCTTCTGTGCAAAAAATATCGAAAACAACTAAACAACGAAGGAAATACCATATGGTATGGAGTTGGTAACGAGAAGAATGAAATTTTTTTCTCAAAAAATATTGAAAATGAATATCATTTTGTAGAGAACAGCAAACTCGTTCCATTTGTGCAAAAACAAATTGAAATACGAGTTAGAATGAAGAAGATATGATCCAATCAAGAAAATTTGGGAAAATAAATTCATTTAATTCTCCACCCTTAGATCTGCAGCCACTTAAAAGAAGGGTTTAGATTTGGTTACTCATAGTCATAGTTACTCACCCTAAGGTTACTCACCCTATCTTGAGCCCTAAATAGATAAAACTCATACATTATGTTGGATGAAAACTTGAAAGGAAGGTTTTTTACAACCTATGATAATGCTAAGAGACTAAGTCAATACACACAAACACAACAATTCTTTAACCTCATACCATTGACGTATATTTTTGTTAGGCGAATACTATGTTGACTGTAAGATAATTTTATTAGTTGCACGTATTTATGTTAAGGGTTAATTATAACTATGTGTTGATTGTTATGTTTTATTCATTGTTTTAATTACGAATTAATACATTAACCAAAAATTTTATCACTTAAATGATAATGTGAAGTTATATTGATTAATCTGGTTAACCAATTAACCAAACCGATTAAACTTTAGTTTGGTTAATTTGGTTGTTGTTTTAGTTTGGACGGTTTGGTTATGATATTGTAATCCATGATTAATGAAATTTAAACTTATTTAATTTGATAATTACCATGGTAACCATTTGAACCCCTATACGTAATTATGTATGAATCATTGACGCAATAATCCTATCCCATAAGGATTCCTAGTTTTACTCAAAACTGTTAATCTTCCTTGTACCACCTCTACATTTCATTCATGTCCATGATGCATGACCCATTAGACCTTTGTTTCATTGAAAATAATTCTAAGGTCATAGATATTGGGTGGCGCCTAACAACACATCAATATCGCCCAAGTCAAGAAGGGAGAGGAACTCAACCATCCTCTTTAATTGTAACACGTTGTGAAGTATAAATATCTTGTCACAGATTATCACGATGACATACAAGCCATGGATCTGTCATATTTGTTATAGATATTTGTGTGGATATCATATATGTCTATTTAGTTCAAGCTCAAATGAATTTCATCATTTGACTAAGGGTTGGCCAACCACTTCATAGATACTATTCATTGAAGAGCCCGTTGATATCTTACTTTGTTAAAACGGATTGGGAAGTTGACAATGCAATAAAGTAAAGAACATACAGATTTTTATGTGGTTCATTAACACCATTGAGAATGGCACGAAAACATCAACAATTGAGATTTCATAACGATCAATGAACAAGTAGAACCGAGCACCAGGGGCGGAGTCGCCCCCCCCCCCCCCAAGAATTTCGGAGATCGCGTGTAAAAATATCGAGAATTTTGAAAATTCTGAAGAAGTTAACTATTGTAGAATAACAATACCGTGCAAATATGAGTAACTATGTTTAGCTCTAGTCTAATGGAATGCAGGAGATGCTTATGAATACCCAGTACCAAGATTCAATCCTTGAGAGCAACATTTTTCTTTTAGTTTTCCTAATTTGCTTAAGTTTTTGTTTAAAATTTAGACTGGTCACTTAACTATTCTACTTATTCAAATATTATTTAATTTCAAAGTTCAAACTAGATAATGAAATTTTGGAGCTTATAATATTTTTCTAATTTAGATAATTAAATTTAGGAGTCTAGATAATTAAATTTTGGAGCTAATGACTCACAATGTAAATATTTTCTTAATTTTTTTTTTACGAATACTATACAAAAAATTCCACCCCTCCCCCCCACGGACCACTGGATCCTAGCTCCGCCCCTGCCGAGCACCAACAGGAAAATACAAACAAGAGATAGCAATATTAGGAAACCGATCGATGTAATTTCTAGGAAGGACATCTATGTAATTCACACTGTCATTAAATGGATTCAACTGTAGTTGACCCAAGATAACTGTCAGTTGACGGAAACATGGATTGAAGGGTAGATTTGATAACTTTGCTATATAGAAGAGCAAAACCGGTGTGAAATATTGTAGAGTGACATGTTTGAGAACTTTGCAAAATAGAATGGCAAAATATAGTAGGCCTAATACCATTAGGAAACCCGAACTATTAACTATGGGTCATTTGTGTCCTAAAGTATTCAATATGACAATTGTCTCCCAAACTATTTTCCCGTTATGGTTGACCGGCGTTGACCGTTAGTTTTTAACAGAAAGTCTAGTCACCGCTCTGATGTGGCATCTGACTTGGAATTTTTATTATTTTATTATATTTATTTTCTCATAAAAATGAATAAAATAAAAAAAAGAAATAAAAAAAATCCAGATCTGAAGATCTGCATCTCTGGGGAACAATTTCGGCAACGGTCGATGCTAATGAATTGCTCGCAGCCTTCTGGTCTTTGTTTGAGGGAGTCGACGAGCCAAACCATGGCTTTGCCGCCGAATCCGAGGGGAAGCTTGGATCGAGGATTGGAAATGCAGATGGCGGGGCTGTGGAGTATCAAGTTGGTTCGATCGGCGAGGAGGGCGTCGACGAGGGCGAAGGAATCGTCGCAGGGTTCGTATACCTCTGGGTGTGAACTCACCAATCGAATCTGCGCCTTCTTCCACTCAGCTCCTTCTATTGAACTCTCGGCTAATTCCGTGGCGCATGAGCGCAGAGGAGAGGAGATGAGATTTGACGGCGGAGGGGAGCGGAGAAGGAACTGAATTTTAAGGGTCTGGGAATTGAGTATTGGAACGGAAACGATGGAGTGGAGTGTGGACACAGTGAGTGGAGTGTGCAATCCGATTCATCTCTCTCTACTAATTGTTTGATCTTGGGGTATTGTTTCTTCGATTGCTCTTTTCTTTCGCACACCACCTGTTCGACAAAATACTCAGCCTATAGAAACCCCGCTGAACCAGAACCGCCAAATTAAAGAATAACAAATTCCAAAAGATGAATCAATCGAAGGATCTCTTCGAGGCTGCGTACGAGGAGCAGGAACAATCACCGCCTGATTCACCGCTTGCCCCTGAAGACTTCGACGACCGCTTCTCACGACACAGCCACTGCCCCAAGAGTTGAAGCATATCGCGAACGGAGTGGAAATTGTTCTGGAAAAGCGTTGGCGGGAGGCGGACGGAGTGGAAAGTGGCTTCCTCGACTTCTTTCGGCCGTCCGACGGAGAGGATAGGGGGGAGGTTGATCAAATAAAGGATGAGGAAGAAGGGATAGGGGCGAGGTCCATCGTCTTCCACCATTTGTTGGAAAAAAATCCCACTGTACACACGTTCTTAAAAAAAATTCCCAAAATACATGAGTTATAAAAAAATTTCCCAAAGTACATATGTTTGAGCATCACCGTTTTAGACAAAAGCGCTGAAGGTCATCACCGCTTTTGACCAAAACGGTGAATGCTTCATCGTCTTAAACAAAAACGGTGAAGTATTCACCGTTTCAAACTAAAACGGTTAAGTTTTCACCGCGTTAATTAACAACGGTGAATACATCACCGTTTTGGTCAAAAACGGTGAACTCTTTCATCGTTGTCAAGTAACGCGGTGATTATTTCCCACGTTTCCCACTCCTGGTAGGTCAAAATTAGGTCGCAGCTACCACCTATTCACCGTTTGAGACAAACGCGGTGATGGTGTTCACCGTTTTCGACAAAAACGGTGAATAGTAGGCAGATTTTCCTATAAATTGCACACCACCAGAAGTTGTAAAAACATAACCACTCCCCTTTCTTCAAATTTCAGCAGCCAAAATCGAGCATAATACACAGAACAGAAATTTTTCGGTATGTTGAGACTTTTCGTATTATAGTCTAATTATGTTTTTAGTAGTTATAGTATGATTTAATTTTCGTATTATGTTATTGTTAGTTAGTTGAACTTATGTTCGTTAGTTATAGTATGATTTAATTTTCGTATTATGTTGTTGTTAGTTAGTTGAATTTATTTTCGTTAGTTATGGTATGATTTAATATTAGTTGTACAATATGATTTTGGTTAATTTTACTGTCTTTAAGCTAATAGATACTTATTGTAAATTGTAGATATGGGTAAATTCAAGAAGTTTCATCTTAATATTCGGTGGAATGGAAGGGTGACAAACTCTGACATAGGCATTGATTATGAGGACGGCGAATCCATTATGCTGAAAATTGATTCCCGATTCAATTTTCAAGAACTCTGTGATCTTTGTGCAGAAAGGGTTTGTACGAGCGGACAGACGAGACTTGGCAAAATTACTTACCTATATCCAGACATGAGTGCTGGCGGGGTCGTGTTCCAAGAAGTTGTCATAAACGATGATGACGCGGTTATGATGATGTTACAGTTCCTAAGCGATAACCAAGTCCGGCTTGCAGAGGTGTATGTTGAGACCGAGGCGGTCGGTGAATCTCATTCTCACCAGTATTCTTATGATGATGGTTTTGCAGGAGGGTACGAATGGGGTGGTAGTTCGAGCAACTACCAAGGCGGTGGTTATACAGGAGGTTACGGGGAGGGTGGTGGTTCAATCAACTACGGTGGATCGAGTAGTGCAGGATGGGACAAATACTCGCAACCTCCTAAACCAGCCCCATTTGTTGAGGCCGATGGTGTTCAATGGCCTGCTTGGGGGCCAGAGTGGTATGGAATCGAGAATACCATTCGATCAGGGCGTACTTCACATGAGCGAGAGGACGATGTTGGTGATCGTGGTCATGTTGACCCTTCTAGCCCGAGCTATCCATTCGAGTCGAGCGACGAGGATACTGAGGAAGATTTGATATCAGTGAGCGAGGAGGAGGAAGATACTGATGATAACGAGAATGAGGCGGCATTTCGTGAGGCACCCACGCCATATTACACACAGGTTCCAACTCAATTTTTACATAGTCAGAATGATCCCCCCGACTTTGTCCCTATGCCAATGTACAATCTGACGACCAATTTGGAGGTGGGTATGGCGTTCACATCGAAAGACGCTGTGCAGGATGCTTTTACAGAAGAGGCGTTGAGGCGCAATTTCGAGTGGAAGGTAAAATATTCTGACAGTAAACAACTACATGTCATATGCAAGCATGATGCAGAGGGTTGTACGTGGCAACTGCAGGCTGCAAATATGAAGAGAAAGGGTGCTTGGGTGATTCGCAAAGCTGAGACGATCCACACATGCTCCTCTTCTATACTTTCCCAAGATCACAGGCAACTAAAAGCAAAGAAGGTTGGGAGAACTATTAAGCACCTTATAGAAGCACAACCAGATATCAAGGTGAAAGCTATCATGGCAGAGGTGAAGGATCGACATTCTTACACGATAAGGTACAAAAAAGCATGGCATGGTAAGCAGAAAGCCATGGCTGAGGTGTATGGTAATTGGGAGGATTCGTATGCTTTACTCCCTAGACTTATGGGAGCAATGGAGGAGTCCAATCCTGCGACTGTTTTCGTCCCAGTATACAACAATGTATACACTGAGGATCAAGTTCGAGTACAGGATAAGCTGATGTTCCATCGTCTTTTTTGGGCTTTTAAACCATGCATTGACGGTTTTGGGTTCTGCATACCGGTTATTCAGGTATTTTACCAACTAGTTCCGGTTTTAAATGTTGTATTATTTGCTGTTAAGTATATTTCATACTAATTATATCCTAAATTTTTATTCAGGTTGATGGAACTTTCCTTACTGGGAAGTACAGAGGATGTCTTCTAATTGCCACTGGCGTTGATGGAAACAGGCGGATTTTCCCGCTTGCATTTGCATTAGTGGAAGGGGAGAACAGCTTAAGTTGGGCTTGGTTCTTTGACCAACTGCACGAACACGTGACACAGCGGGAAGATATTACGATTATATCCGATCGACATGCGGGGATAAGGAATGCTGTTGGTGGTTTTCCCGACGAGTGGGGGTGGTTATGGAGATGGTGTATTCGACACTGGCTCGCCAATTTCCAACACAAATTTGGGAAGAAGAAAGACATCAAAAATCTACTTTGGAATGCAGGTACTAATGTTTTTCTTATGCGATTTAAGTTTGTGTTTATTAAGCTGATAAGCTGATGTTATTCATCATGTATTGACCAGTTAGTCTTTTGTTCACCTTTTAGCGATTGCACATCAACCAAAAAAGTACGAGCAGAAGATGAAAACGATCCGTCAGACCCACCGAGCTGGAGCAGTATGGGCTGAAGGTCAAGAGTTGCCCATGTGGACGTTCCATATGGACAACGGGGCCAGATGGGGCATTGCAACTACCAACCATGGAGGAAGTATAAATAATGTGTACAAGGGTCTTCGAGCGATGCCTATTTCTGTCATCGTGGAAATGTCTTATTGGAAGGTCAACGAGTGGCGAGTTGCTCGGCTACAGCTAGCTATAGGGAGGGAGTTGCAAGGTCATTCAGTAGCACATGACGTATTCGCTCAAATGCAGAAGAACGATGAAAAATCAAGTAAGCATAAGGTTGTTCTTTTTAACCGCAGTGAAGGAATATTCGCTGTCGAAACAGGTATATGGGGTGGAGGGAGACGTGGTCACAATCGTCAAACGGTTAAATTGCACTACGAATTAGGGGAGTGTTCTTGTCAAAAGTATCAGAACGAAAGGATACCCTGTTCACATGCAATGGCGGTTACTAAGTCAATAACCATGAACAGAAACAGCCTGGTGAGTCCTTACTACACTGAACAAGCGATACGGAACTCATATAATGCAGCTTTGAGCCCCATGCCAGATGAAGCGTATTGGCCTATTTACGCTGGAAAGTTGATTATCCCACCGTTGCACCTAAAACGCACCAAAGGCCGTCCTAGAGTTGAAAGGATACACAATGAGATGGATCAAGTTGAACGGACGAGAAGGGGACCGAAGCGATGCTCTAAGTGCAGACAACCTGGTCACGACAAGAGGCGTTGCCCAGGACAACCATCAACTTAATTTGCATTTACTTGTATTCTGCTACTAAATTGATCGCTTGTTTATTTTTTCATTACCGTTTGCATTTGAAGTCCAAGTATTTTGTTAACTCTAAAATATTTTCCTTGTCGATACGATCGCGCTGCCGCAAACGGCTCGTTATTTCGACCTCAAACGAATAAGATACGCGCGTTTTAGTTTTTAGTACGCAAAAGTTACTTTAACGATACGAGTCACTTATCTCACTCGTTTGGACTCGGAATTGGGATCTGTAAAATTCTATGCGATCGTGGTTGATTTTCCCAACTTTTTTGTGTTGAGGGAAGATACTGATTCTTGATAAAATGATCCAGAAAATTCATTCGACAACTTAAGTGCGTAGGATAGTTTTTAGACAATGCAAACTCAAATAACAACACCTAAAATTAACCAAAACAACATGGATAGATCACTACTGCAGGATAAAACGATAAATTCACTCATTTGCTTCATTTTGGCCCCCATCTCCACCTCTTCCTCCTCGTCCTCCACGACGTCCTCGACCCCTTCTTCCCCCCTCTGCCGCTGCTTCTTGGCGGGCTCGCTCAACGGCTGGTCGCGGATTTCTCTTGACCTGAGCCCCAACTGGGGTTACATATGGTGGTGGTGGTGGCTGAGATGGAGCGGTAGCTTGGCGAATGATCGGAGGTTGCGGAGTTTGTTGTTGCGGGGTCTGATACATCGAACTCTGTTGCTGATGTTGGAATTGAGAGAAGCCATGAGAGAAAGTGTCCCACTCCTGAGATGCTCCACGACTCGATGACCCTCCACCGGCTTCCGCTGTAGGTGCCCACTGGTACTCGAACGGTTCATGGATCTCGGTTGCTTGAGTGGTACGCACCTCTTCGAACGTAGGCAAAGGCCTGCGTTTGCTCCTTCGTGGGGGCTCAACCGGGGGCACAATGGCTGCATCATCACGGAATGAGGGTCGTGCCGGGGCAGGAACGGGAGGATAGGCCACGACATCCCTCCTTTGCTCTCTGGTGCAACTCAGGAGGTTATTCATAAGTCGGGTCAACCAAGTAGTCTTCCGCTCATCCATGGTTGGAGCACTTTCGAGAGTGTACTTCGCGTGTTCCAAACCATCAACCTTATGAAAGCACAAAATATATCAAATTAAGTAAACCTTAAAATAAATATATTTTAGAATGAGGGAGATTAGGATGACTTACCAACGAACCCATCACAGCACCTTGCTTTGACACCCATCTCAGGGTGAACTTCCGATACCACTGCATGTACCCATCGTGGTAGCCCATCGGTCTCGTCTCCGGCATCCCTTGCACCACCCATTGGGATCGATTCTCCCAGATGT